CAACTCAGCCTAAATGACTACCCAAATTTCACACAGAAATGAACTGGAGCCAGAGGTGAGATTAGAACAAGGGTCTTACTCTAGCCTTGAATTCCATCTTATATGTGGAGCTTATGGATGCAGATTTTTTAATATGTAAGAGTATTAGCGAGCTAACACAACTGATGTCTTCTCTAGTGCCATAATGTTCCTGATTTACATTAAAATATTTTGTTATATTTAGGTAAATATTATAAGGTAAATGCTTTTAGTAAGCTAGAAAAATGGAAATATTTTTAAAGTCCAAGTAACCAGGTTTTTTCCTTGTTATATACTTGTATCTGCAAGAGACCAAAGGAACAGGTGAATTTTTTAATTCAGAGAAACAACTTTAAACCGGGTATGATGGTGCATGTCTGTAATCCCAAACTCTAGGAGGCTGCAGCAAGAGGATCCCAAATCTGAGTCCAGCCTGGGCAATTAGGTGACCTAGCAAAACCCTGACTAAAAAATAAAATTATAAAGGGCTGGGGAGAAACCTCAGTGACAAGCCCTGAGTTCAATCCCCAGTACTGAAAAACAACAAAACGAAACACAGATAACCTAGAACACCTCAGTAGCTCTATAACAGATGTAAACCACACCTCCACCTGCCTTGGTCTCTCTGACCACACTTCTCTATCTAGCAGCACTGGATGACGTTTTTCACCTATTGACCTTGAACTCCTCTCTTGGCCTTCTGACACATCCATGACCTTTATCACTTCTTTCTCCTTAACTGTAGACCTTACCTTTATTCTGCCTTTGGCCTGCCTCCGTTGCTTCTCTACTTTCTGATCTCTGTCCCTGACAGTCATTTTTATGTAGATAATTACTCAACTGCAAGATACTTCTCTATGGAAAAATAATTAGCACTGAAAAAGAATACAGATCTTTATGCAAAAAGTGTTAACTACCTATAAAATCACTATTATTTTTTCCTGAAACTCATTAGATAATGGATGCAAGAGGTTTAGGAATAAATCTTAGAAAATCTTTTTCCCTCTTTTTCTTTTCAGTTCAGTGTTTAGTACAGAAACAACTTCTATAACCAATTTATCACCTGTTTTGGAAGCTTTTCCTAATTGAAAAACTGTCATGTGGTGTAGCATGTGGTATATGCTTATAGTCCCTCCCAGCCACTCAAGAGGCTGAGGCAGGAGAATCACTTGAGTTCATGAGTTCAAGACCTACATTGGCAACATAGTGAGACCTGTCTCAAAAATAAAAACAAAACACACAACAAAAAATTATACTAATTCATGTTTTATCTAAAACTGATAAACGTTTCACTCTGGACAAACTCAAGGTTACTTCTCTTCTAGAATTAGAAAAGTTGCAAAATGTTCACCATTTTAAAAATAAAGAAAAAATTCCACTCTGTACATAACTTCCTCCAACCCCATTAATTCACAAATATTTTGAGTATTGTTTCCATTAGACCACAAAAATACAATTTATTTTCATATATTTTGTAAGAAAAATGTAATTTTTATTGTTTTCAATATAAAATATACAGAATTTCAGCTATGGTATAACTTAAATAGGCACTTGTAGGAAGGCCAACTTTTTGTCAAATAGTTTCTATGGAGAAATGAGTTCCCAAGATGGAATTTAGAACTTTTAGCACAAACCTCTGCTCCTCAGCAAGAAGGTAATAACTCACTTCTTGGGTGCCAAGAAACTTTTCCTAAACCATACGGCAGAGCAAGGTGTTTGCTGATTTCTCCTCACTACAAAAAGAAACAAAAACCCCCACAAAGGATACTGAGACAGAAGGCAACCTATTCTTCAGGCAGCCAAGTGCCCACTTACATAGGAGTTTTGTGGCATGACACGAGGTGGCAAAAAGGTACAAATATTCTTTTAAAGTTTTTGTTTGTTTTTTGTTTTTTTCAAAGGCAGGGTCTTGCTATGTAGTCCAGGCTGGCCTTGAACTCACAGCAATCCTCTTGCTTCAGTCTCCCAAAGTGCTGGGATTATAGGCATGTGCCACCATGCCAGGTGAAAGAGGGTACAAATTTGGAATTCTTGAGTGGGAAGATATGTTTTATTCAGGAGGAGAGGTTGGTGTTTCCTCTCAGTCTGTGTTAAGAATACACATGCTCTAAAAAGAAATAGGCATTACTTTCAAGGGGTTTTGACCCTTGTTTTTCACTGACATTTTCTCTTTGACATTACTAAATATAATTATGAATAAAAGTGCATATTTTTGGGAAATAGAACACTGGAATACCTTAAAAAACAAACACAAAACCTCTAGGAATAGTAATTTGTTTCTTCTGTAATTTTATTTTATTTTTTTTGGCAGTAATGGGGATTGAATCCAGGACTTCTCATATTCCCAGCTCTTTTTTAGTTTTTTGAGACAGGAGTTTGCTAAGTTGTTCAGACTGGACTCAAACTTGTGATCCTCCTTAGACTCCCAGAGTATCGGGATTGTGGGTGTGTATCAAGCCCAGCTTGTGCATAACTCTTAAATACAAGTAAATGGCAGTGATCAGTCTTTCAAACATAAAGCGACCAGACAGCCAATCAGGGCTAGTGACTTAGGGAGACCATGCCTCAAAATTTAAAAAAATTTAAAAAGGACTGGGAATACAGCTGCTTGCAAAAGTCTAACCCCAGTACCAAGCAAAGCCTCAGTGAGGTGTGGTGGCACACACCTATAACCCCAGTGCTCTGGGAGGCTGAGGGAAGAGGAGGATCTCAAGTTCAAGTTCAAGCTCACTCTGGGCAACTTATCGAGACTCTGTCTCAATATAAAAATAGAAAAAGGGCTGGGATGTAGCAGTGTAAAGGCCCTGGATTCAATCCCCAATACTTCAAAATAAAATAAAGTAGCTTTTGGATATCAGTATGCTCTAGAAGGCCTATAATGTCCTGTAATTTCTTAAAGATAATTGTTTTCTAGGAAAAATAACTCACAAAGATATGTCTATTGCTGATTAATTTACTTAGTTTTTTTTTAAGTTTGCTTTTAGTAGGACCATTTGGTACCTGTTCCCTCTCTTACTAAGCTTCACACCATAATTCAATGAAAAGAAAAAGGAGAGTGACTACTGATTACAGTTTTCTACTTGGGGAGGATACTAAATGTTAATTTTGGATTTCTCATTGGATTCAGATTAGTTTTAGCGTTGGAGATGTAACCTGTCACATGCCTATACTTTATGTAGTGGACCCAAGGCCCAACAGACTGTTAAGGGGTGAATGTTGGGAAGTCAGCAGGAAGAACAGGAGCAAGTAAAGAGATTGGCCTTATATTTCTTGTTTTGGTCTGTCAGAACCTAACCAATTTTTCATAATTCTCAGCTAATTTCTGATATAGGTTCACACAAGATATCTGTTAAATAAGTGCAATCTAAATTGCCTCAAACATAAAATTATGGGTTACTTTAAAATTTCTGCATTCCATATAACTCAAATTCCTTCTTCGTATTTAACGTTCAGTCAAAAATGTAATTTAATTTTCACTGAAAATGTTCAAGGGATACGCACAAATGCAGCAACAGTGACTATCTGAGAAAAAGAGCTGCTAGTGAAATTTTTAACATATTACTTTAAAAAATACGCCTTTTTATAAAACATTAATTAAACATATTTGGAAAAGGTTACACATTTAGCTTAGGGACTTTTCCGGAGGTGTAAGTAGTGGAAGAAACTCACTTCTTGGTCTTTCCCTGACACTTTCACTGCACAACACTCTTTATGTCTGTTACTTTCTCTCATTCATCCTGACAGAACCAAAATAGCTCTTGAGAGACAGACGTGTAGGGTCCACCACTGAGCCTTTATTTTCTATGTATATCACATAGGGAAATAACTAGTATAGAAAAGAATAAAGTTCTCCAGTAAGAAGCATAAAGAGATTGCCTTTAAAATACTTTTTTTTTTTTTAATGAAACTACTTAAAGGATTTGCCAGTAAGGAGTTTCTAGCCACTCAGAAAACTTCGTCTTTTTTTTCCTCTCTCGGCCATACATACATACGCACAGATAGTTGCAAAATGTTTTCTTCATAAACCACGTCTCAACTCTCTTGGCAGCTTACTTTCTCTTCTGTCTCTCGCATGGCTTTTCTCCTTACGCTTTTCTGGATTTCATTTCCTACCGTCTAAATTTTTTGGGAAGGTAATTGCCATTAGTGCAGACAACCTTAACTAAAAGGATTAAATGGGCAATCTGCATGCAAGCGTTTGTCAAAAACAAACGCTGACGCATCCCGCCAAAGGGCAGCTGGAAGGATTAAGGAAAACACAGCTGGGGGAGACTGTGCCGGACTGCGAAGCAGCCCCGCTACTGTCATCCAGTGGGTTCCCCACACCTCAAGATGCGGCCAGCTTTGGCTCTTGAGTCTCCAACCGAGCTCCAAACTCTGCCAGTTTACACTAGTGTGGCCCTGCGGGTGCTGCAGCAGGGTAACAACGGTGCAGATCCGCCAAGCAGTTAGATGGTGGCTCCAAGTCGGTGAGCAAACGCAAAGATGCCTTTGATTTCCTCTAGCCGCAAGAATTGGATTTTTCCTTTCTTTGGTGAGCGTCTGGGTGGCTCTGACACTTTCAGGCCGTCCATCGGCTCCTCCCCTTCAAGAGGCTCACTTTGCTCGGCCGAGTCTCCTCTTCGCTGGCAGCTCGCACACCCTTGGCATTTTCTCCCAGCCGGGGAAACCTCGCATTTCCTCCTCCTCCCCGCCCCGCCTTTCTCCCTACCCTCCTCCAGCCACGTGATAGGAAGGGCTCTGCCACTCGACGTCACCGACGTCCGCGCCCCCGCCCCCTCCCCCGCTGCACTCCGCGCGCCGCGGGTGGCCGGCGCGGAGGGTGAAAGTGGTCCGCGCGCTCCGCGCTCCCCAACCAGAGCTCGCCAGTGCGCCGCGGCGGCCATGCCGAGCGGGCGCGCGGGTTCCCGGATGTGCGGCGCTCACTGAAGCCCCGCCCCAGCCGCCGGCCCCGCGCGCCCCCGCCCTCCGCCCCGCGCGCGCCGCTGCGCTCCGCTTTCCCCTCCCTCTCCTGCCCTCCCCTTTTTTCGTGCCTCGAGGTTGCGGGTCAGCGCGAGCCACTGCAGTGAGTCCGTCACGGCTCCGGCGCGAGCGCGAGGCTGCAGCCCCGGAGCCGCCTGGCCCTCTCGGCCCCCGCTCCCCTCCTCTTCCTGTCCTCCCTCCTGCCGTCTCTCCTCCCGCGCTCTCGGTTTCTGAATCTCGACCTTAATTTCGCTCTCTCGCGTGCCCAGTCACCCGGCCGGCGCGGGCCCCGCGGCGCCGCTTCCCCTCCCCCAGCCCGCACCCCCTCCCCGGGCGTCCCGAGGGCCGCCACTGGGCTGCCGTCGCTGTCGCTTCCTGCGGAGCCCGTCCGCGCCGACAGTCTACACCTCGCCCGCGAGCCGCCGACCCGCTGAGCAAAATGGTGAGACCCTGGCTTCCCGGTGACCATCTCTCCCCGCCCGCCGCCTCCGAGCCTCGACAACCCCAGCCCCGCCCGGGCCACCTCCCCCGGTGGAAAATTCGAGAGACCCGGGCCCGACCGGTGTCGCGGCGGCCCGAGCGTGTTGGCGGCCGGCGGGGGCGGGGGCGGCGGGCGGCTGCTTGACAGGACGGCGGGGGGCCCCCGCGCCCGCCCCCGGCCTCTGGGGCGCCTCGATGCCGCCCCGCCCGCGCGCCCGGGATTCCGCCCCGCCGCGACCCTCGTCGCCGCCCCCGCCGCCAGCCGGACGCTGGCCCCTGTCGCCCAGCATTACTTCTTTCCCGATCTTCCTCCACGTGGAGCCCCCTTCCGCCCCCAGACTTACTGTTTCTCAAGTTGGAGGGGATTCTGAAATCCTATGGAAATGATAATAGGTAGCAAATGGCGCTTTATGTAAGACCCAGTTTCTCTCCCGAGCTGCTCTTTCTCCCACTCATTCCCTATTTTCTAGCAGTGAGTCTTGGCAAGAGTCCTGTCTCTTCTTTCTCTCTCCTGTGTTTATTTCGCTGCTGTTTGCAACCATGGGGGGGTTCTTTAGCTGCTGCTTTTCTCTGCACCGGCGAACCGGAAAGGCCCAAGGTATATATTCATAAAAACAGGCCAGCTTGGTCTTCGAGAACTGGAGATACTTATTTTTTAAGGCTTCCCTACTGGCCAAGATGTTTTATTTTCTTTGTTACTTTCATGTGTCTATCTCTTGGGGTGGTTGTTTTTGAATCATGGCGATTTAAATTTGTCTTTCGTTACCCTCACAGTAATCCCTAGGTAGAATTTAGTGCTGTAGTGTTTCAGACCGACGCTAGGGGTGTGTCTTTCGTCCGTCACTGTGGCCAAGAAATCAACGACGCCCTTTTAGCCTGTTACTTTACCGATTCTCTAGCTCCGGTTAGCTCGTGTAGTTTCCTCTTTGTAATGGAGAATTATAGTAGAAAAAATTGCAGTGACAATTCTGTATGTATCAGTTATTCGAATGAGAGATTGGATTGTTACACTTTGTCCAAAGTCTTTGAACGGTTGTCAGGAGATTTTTAATTGATACTGCCTAATTTCTTACACCTTTTGATTGTATGATATTCCACCCTGTATGTAGAATTTAAGTACTTAAGATACAGTGATGGATTAGTGAAGAAAGGAATTCTGTTTATTACACTTGAAAAATCAATTTGCGGTGCTGGTGAGGGAAGAATGTGGAATTAGAATATGCAAGCAAGTCACCTTTTTAAAAAATATAGGGCAGATGATTAAGTGTGTTTATTGGCATACTTAAAAACCATGTTGGAGCAGACTTAAGATTTTGATATGTAGAGGACAATTTTTCCCTGCCAGTTTTGGAGGCAGCTTAGATAGCTTTGGTCAACCAAAGTCACAAAACTTAGGCTTTTCCAGACTGTACTGGAAACAATTTAGAAAGATCAGAGCCATTCACAGTACAATCTTTTTGTTGGCACAGTCTTTTTAAGTTAGGAATGCACGTTAGTGCTTTAACAGAACTTTATATGCATATATTTTGCTTGAGGTTTAGGGTCTTCAAGATAATGTATTTAATTTTTGGTGCTGGAGTTTGAACTCAGGGCTTTGCATGCTAATGTGTTCCACCACTGCGCTATGCGGGGGTGGGGGGTGGGGGAGCGCCCCTCAGCCCCTAAATCTCTTATCTTTTTGGTACTCTGTGTTTCCTAATCTTTTAAAATATTTTAAGATGTGCCTTATGTGCTGTTTTCTTCCAGGTCGTTATTTTCCTACTCTTCCCTCCAGTTTCCTTTTAAGTTTTCTGATTCATCCTTGGCTCTTTTTCTCTCCCATCTTTTCAATACCATTTCAGGCCTGGCATCAGTGTGGCTTCCCAAGTTTAGGATTATTTTGGTCTGCTGAATTATAACATTGGTTTGGAAATTTCAAGGTCCTATCCATACCTCAATTTTGCCATATGGGATACTGATTAAGTCAAATAAGCCAGGCAGTGATCAGGTTAATTTTCCCAATTAAACATCTAGATCTGAAAATTTTCATTCCTTTTGGAAAAGTTCTTGTAACTCTTAGTGGTTATCATGGACATACTTACATTTTTGTTAACACATTTTATAAATCTATTACTATGACTGATTAATTGAAGTACGGAGAAAGTAAGAGAACATTTAAAATGTAATTGAATCTCTTAACCAGGTATTTTAGTTGCTGTCTTAAAAGTAGTTTACTTTTTTTTCCCTTGAAAGTTAATTTTTTTTCTCCCTTCCTATCCCCTTATTTGAATTTTGAACTGTTAGTAGGAAAATGAAGATTAGGGGTATGTATTTAAACATCTGTGATACTGAGCTCCTAGGAATTTTCCTCAAGCCAGGTTGTTTGTATCTGGTTTTGTTGGAATAGAAAATAATGGATTTTGTTCTGGATGCTCATATGAACATACTTAATTAAGGTTTATTTCTTAAGACAACATGAATTTTATAAAGAACCTTTTGTCTTTGTGTTTTTAACTCTTTATTAAAGTAATCTTTATCTCCACAATCTGTAACTAGAACTAAATTTATTGTTTATGATTTTTTTTTTTTAAAGAGAAAGCAAGCTACCTATTATGGCCATCAAAATTAAAATTCAGTCATAAGGAGGCAGTTTCTGCCCCTTATGTCCTGTATTGGATAGGAAGAATAAAATGGCTGAAGGTATAAGATAAAGAACCTAGGATGAGTGGGGTGAGGTGATGCATGCCTTTGATCCCAGCACTTGGGAGGCTGAGACAGGAGGATCACCAAGAGTTCAAGGCCAGCCTGGGCTGCGGGCTGCATAGTGAGTTTGAGGCAAGCCTGAACTGCATAGTGAGACCCTGTCTCAAAAAAAAAGGCATAGGGTCAGTCAACAATGAGAGAAACAGACAAATATGGAAGAATTAGGCCTTTATCATAGATAATAAGGCAATATAAGGAAGTAAGATTGGGTTATGAGGGTTAAACAAGTCAAACAGACCAGAGATTTACTCATGAACAGATACTTGTTCATTTTTGTCTGATGTTTGCTCATTATTGTGCTGTTTGTTGTTGAGGATTTTAAACTAATTGAAGGCAGGTTTTCTACCCTCACTTAAGTAGTTGTGAAATAAGTTAGCATGTGATGAATGTCATATGAATAATATACTCAAAGCCTGATAGAAATTGAAGAAAGAGTAAGATGAGAATTAGGGAAAGTTTTATAAAGGAAGTGAAAATTGTGCTGCATTTAAAAAGATTGTTAGGAGTGCAGAAGGGAGAGTTGAAGGTATCTTGAAGACGCTTTAAATCCTGAAGGTAAAAGAGATATGTCTTTGGAGCTGTAATTCTCAAAATGTGGCCTGGACCAGCAGCTCTAGTATCATTTGGAATTGTGTTGGAATCCTGCAGGAACAACTCTGGGGATGAAGCAACAGTCTGGATTTTACAGGTCTTCCTGTATAGGTGAATGTTTATCACTTTCACACTATCATAATGTTAAGTTGAACAAACCATAGTTAGACTTTACATGTACTTTTGTTCTCTAGTGGTTTGTACAGTTCATGTCTCTATTCCTGTGAATATAAGCTCCCTATCTGGACTACCTTTCTATAGGTGATTGTGATGTGGGCTAAATTTTGAGAGCCACTGTTTAGAGCATTTCAAGGGATGTATTTATTTAAATTTTAGTCTAATATCTGTTACTCTGCCTAGTGCTAACTGTATTAAGGCAGGATTGTTGTCTCTTAAGTACTTAATCAGATAGGGTAAATAAGATAACGACTATTCAGTGTGGTATGTGCTATTAACAAACTAAGTGTGGGTGCTTTAAGAGTGTGTGGCAGGGAGGAAGAGGCTTAATCCAAACTGGCATCAGAGTCAGTCACCCAAAGCTTCTTGGAAGAGGTGGTGCCTGAGCTGAATCTTAAAAGAATGAACATTGAGCTAATGGGGAAGGGCACTGCAGATAGGGAGCTTCTGTTCAAAGTCATAGAGGCATGAACTGTACAAACCACTTAGAGAATGTAAATAAACATAGAGCCTGATTAATGATGATCAACTTATGACTTTCAACATTATGTTAGTGTGAAAGTGATAAACACCGAGTAGAAATTACTTTAACATAACTAACCTTGCTTGGTATGGTGGTGTGATCCCCGCACTGAGGAGGCTGAAGCAGGAGACTCACGAGTTTGAGTCCAGTTTGGACAACATATGAGTTTAAGGCCAGCCAGAACTCATAGTAAGACTCTGTCTCAAGACAAAACAACAAAAAACATAAACAATCACACACAAACCATACATTGATGATGAATACGTATCCAACCATTCTGGTTTTTACTGTCAGTATGCAACAAATTATATGAGCTATGCAGTACTTTTTTTTATAAAATGGACTTTGTGTTAGATGATTTTGCCCCAGTAGATTAATTTGAGTGTTGCGAGCATATTTAAGGAGAGCTACAGGTTAAGCTATGATGTTTCGTAAATTAAACATATTAAATGTATTTTCAAAGCTGGGCATCGTGGCCTACTGTAGTCCCAGTACTCTGGGAGCTTGAGGCAGGAGGGTCTCAAGTTTAAGTGCAACCCGACTAACTTAGTGAAACACTGTACCAGAATAAAAAAGGGCTGGGGTTATAGTCCAGTGGATAGGCCCCAGGTGAAATCTCCAGAAACATATACAGAAAAACAAAAACCTTTTTTTTTTTGGTACTGGGGATCGAACTCAGGACCTTGCGCTTTCAAGGCAGGTGGTGGAACCACTGAGCTAAATCCCCAGCCCAAAACATTTTTGATACATATCTTCAACCTATAGTGGGTCTTATTAGGATGTGACCCCATCAGAAGTTGAGAAACATTTGTATTCAGCATAGCTGGAGAACAGGGGAGTAGGGTGGAGAGGAGAGAGTGTTATGAAGATTGAGGCTTTATCATGGGAGGGGTGCATATCATGAGATTTTAAATTTTCCTAAAAAATTT